ATACTAATACAACTAATTTCATAAATATTCTTAATAATTCACTTTTATTTCTTCGCTGTCCGTCGTCACGATTTGGAGCTGCAAAGAGATTAACAGATAGATTTTATTATTAATTATTCTTTAGCTTCAAAGAAATCGTTATTAAAAACAATTATTTATTTGTTTGTTATAATGATATCCTTATAACCACTATAAGTCGATGTAAAGATCGTATTTTTTGCAGAATCGAAAATGGAATTAAGGACAGCTACGGTAATGTCTTTATTATCCTTTGTGGGATGGCTGACGTCTCCGATATTTTGGATATTACGAATTTGTAACAGAAAAAAGCTACCACCAATAGAGGACGATATTTTAAGGGTTAGCGCCACCAAACTGGCTTATTTAATAAGGAACAAAAAGGTACAAAATCGAATTACTGATATAAAAATTGTTACTGTTGTCACACCCGGGAATCGACCTCGAGACTTTTAACTTTACGCTCCAATGTTCTGAACCATTAACCTATTGAATTTCAAAGTGTTTCATGTAATATTGGAAAAAATGTTTCATCTGTAATTGAAGGATGATGGGAAAACTATTTGAAGAGATTATTCAACCTCATCATATTCGTTTGATTTTTCTCATTGGTAGGCTCTCAAAAGCGGATCTGTTTGAATTTATTATTAACATTTTGATTTAATTTTGTGCATTTAGACTGAAATCAGTTTTTGTACGTCAGCATATCTAAATTATGCAAGCAGAATTTACCTATCATTACATGAGAATTATAGGTACATGCTAGAAAATCAAGTTTCTGTTTATTATTTATCTATTCAGTAAATGTTTATGCCATTATTAATTTGCATTAATCAAAGTGCAGTAAGTGAATCCTTATGTGGCATTGAAACTTGTATAAATTACGATCTGTTGTCAGGATTCTTGAAGTGGTTTCGTTTGAAGGTAATAGTACCTGTATGTTCTCATAACGAAACTGAAGATCATTTATGATATCTGATGCACAACTAATGGAACATTATAAACCCAAAAAAAACTTTGGGTTTCTTGATAATATATCACATGTAATAATAAATTTAAGTTTTGACCGTATGCTAGCAAAAGGTTATTGTAACTTTTATATTTTGAAACAGAGTAAAGCTATTAATTAAGTAACTTAAATACCAATAAAAACGTTAGAGTCTTCTAATAATTTAAAATTTTTCAAACATTGAACTCCCAATGTGAACAAACACGCTCGTTTATATGAAGGTCAGTATCATCAATTCACCTTCTTGTGTCTCATCATTAAGGTAACATCAATTAATTACAAAACCATTATGTAAATCACATTTAATGCCATTTACTAAAGCAATTATTATAAATGTCTCAGAACTATACTCCATTTTTAACACTGATCCCGAATTGGACGCACAAAAAAGTCTGCATTTAATTGTATATCAATCAAAGTTTATTATATATTATAGTTTACACTATTATGGTCTCGCTTTAGATTTCTTCTGAAGAAGTTATAAGAACTTATATTAAAAGGATAAACCAAGTAAACCCAATAATTAATGCAGTCGTTGAAGATAGATTTCATGAAGCAATTGTAGAGGCAAAATCCGTAGACAAATTGTTAAAAGAAACAAATTTATCCGAAGAAGAACTATCGAAAACAAAACCTTTGCTTGGCGTTCCCTTGACTGTAAAAGAGAGTTGCTGTGTCAAAGGTAGAAACTTTTTAAACTCATACACAAGTATTTTACAGATTCTATGCAGAAATTATTTTTGATGACATTGCAAAACTTATGTAGATATATATTTGCTTGAATTGATATTCGTATTTGATGACCGTGGTTCAGGATTCAAGAATGGGCTCTTCTTCTATCGGTGAATCCCCAAATGGAGTAGTTTATCTAATGTTTCGCCGAAGGATTCTGTCCTCTAGCGAAACGTTATATAAAGGACTCCATCTGAGGACTTACTTAAGGACCATAGTTATGAAACCTTTCAATTATTGCTGACTGTAAAAGGTCTGGAATCTTCATCACAAGATTTCCTTTTTTTAAGGATTAAGTGCAAGTGTAGGGTCTCTTAGGTATAAAGGTAAAAAGGCAGAAGATGATGGGGTTGTCGTTGCTAAAGTTAGGGAGGCAGGTGCAATACCTCTTCTGGTGTCCAATACTCCAGAAATGTGTATGGGATGGGAATCATCTAATAACATTACAGGAAAATCTTATAATCCATATCATCCTGCTCATTCAACAGCTGGATCTTCTGGAGGAGAGGTAATATATTTAACACTTATCATAATAGACCGTATCTTATTTTGTACATAAATTTAATTGTCTACAATTCATACAAACGACTTAAATTATTGTTTCGGTTTTTTCGTTATTGATTAGTTACATCCAAATTGCTGTAATGTCTGACATTAAACTGCAAGGTTGAGATCAGAATTAAAATTTAGTGGTATACATATATATCATTTCTGTAACATTGGGTAAACAACTTTCCAAAATTTTTAACTCCAATATTAAAGAAATTGTGCATTTAGGCAGCTTTGGTTGCGTCAGGCGCCTCTGTTATTGGAATGGGTTCAGACCTTGCTGGATCAATTCGTCTTCCAGCCCATTTCAATGGAGTCTTTGGACATAAACCTTCGCCAAGCAAGTTGTTCCTAACGTTTACTAAAAGTATTTAAATTTATTTATATTTTATGCTAGGGGTTTGTTCCATAAAAGGGCATATTCCATATTCTTCACACGATTCTTTCGTGGAAATGCTAAGCATAGGACCGTTTACACGGTTCGCGGAAGATTTGTACCTTATGATGAAAGTAATGGCTCAGGATCCTCGAATACTTAAATTAGATGAAAAAGTAAGTTTTGTTTTCTGGCTTTTTTTATATATCCTTAAAGGTTTTCGCAATTTTTATTTGGCACAACAACAAAGCACTTATTTATCTATTTCCAAATTTATTAGTAATTGGGCAAGACGTTGAAATTTGGAACCAAATTGACCGTGTAGATAATAAAATATAATAATTGATCAATAAAAATGAATTTTAACAACAAAATGTTAACAATAAAGTCTACTTTTAGGTTGATTTCTCTCGCCTTAGAATATATTGTCACAGACGAATAGGCAATAACTTTTTCTATGTTGACGTAGATACGGAGATTATTGCTTTATTGGAGAAAACAATAAATCATTTTCGCGAAGCGCATCAAGCAAAATTTTGCGCAAAAGAGTTTAAGAATTTTACTAAAACTATGGACATGGGGCTTGTATTGTTACCTGAGGCTACCTCAAACGTACTAAGCCTTTTGCAGGATCCAAAAACTGGAAAGGTAATATAAAATTCAAATTGTGGCCATTCTTGTTGATGCTATTTCATGCATTTTAGAAAGATTTAAACGCCATTCTAGAACTGGTCAAATCAACTTTTGGTATGTCAGTCCTAACTTTTAGCGCAGCAATGTCAGAAGCTTTAAGGGTAGTACATGTTGTTCCAAAACGAAAGCATTCCTATTACAAGAAGAAAAAGGAAGAACTAAAAGCTGAATTATCGGTAAAAAATAGTATTAGTAACCCTTGAGTGTAATAAAGGAAAATGTTTTTCAGAGAGAACTTCAAAATGATGGAATCCTTTTTCTACCAACGTTCTATACTACAGCTTTACAAAATGGCCAAGCCACATTAAAGCCTAAAGGTTACATGTATACAATGCTATTTAATTTGCTTGGTTTTCCAGCAACTCATATTCCAATGGGACTTAGTCGGAATGGACTTCCAATTGGAATTCAGGTATATTTATGCACGTTCAGAAAAATTAGCAACCTTATGAAATTTCCACTAACCCATTTATTTCTCTAAAGGTTGTTGCTGCCCCTTTGCAAGATAGATTATGTCTAGCAGTAGCCACAGAATTAGAAAGATTATTTAACGGTTGGGTAGAGCCTGGTACACTTTAGCTAGCTAATGTCTATATTAATTCTTTTGTTATCAATAAAACTTTAAAAGAAGACTAGGCTGACTTTATTATATCCTCAAAGTAATACAATCACTTCAGTTAAAAACAATTTACAATTTATTTAACTTACCACACACTTCTTTACAAAATAATCACTTTTTTACGAGCCCTCTTTAAATTTGTGTTAAAATTGTGCCGGAAAGTGGTTATTTGATATCACACTTGAAAACCGTTGGCAATATGAGATTCTGCGGACCTTTTTATTTACTAGTCACTTCTCAATGCTTAGTAAACACATTCCATCTGCGAATAATNAAAAGCAAGACTAAAGTCTAGATAACTATTTTCCACTATCAATCTTGTTTCCAATCTTGTTCTTGAGAGATAGTTTTAGTAGATTTAAAGATACAAATTTCCATAAAAATTTGTGAAAAGTAAGACTAAAGTATAGATTATAACTTGCTGCCTTTAATTTTGTTCTTAAGATAGTTCGATAGGTTTAAAGATATATAATTTCATAAAAACTTGTGAATGTATGGCTAAGGTCTAGATCATTGATTTCTGGCCTTACTTTTGTTTCTAACTTTGGTCTTAAAATGTTTTCAGTAGGTTTGCAAATAAAATTACGAAAAGCAAGACTAAGGCCTAGATTGTCGTATTCCACCATTAATCTTGTTTCCAATTTTGTTCTTGAGATGGTTTCAAGAGGTTGAAAGATACAAATATCTAGAAAAGTTTGTGATGACCATAACTAAGAATTAGATCATCATTTTCCACTTTTTCACTTTCTCCTTTTAATATTACATTGTGAAAAGCAAGACTAAGGTTCAAATCATCTTGTCCGCCATCAAGCTTTTTGTTCCCAAGTTAGTTCTTAATATGGTTTCACTAGTGGTTTAAAGGTATGTATTCCAAAAAAGTTTGTGATTGTAAGACTAAGGTCTTTACCATCATTTTCCACTATAAATCTTTGTCAATCAGATTTGTTACCAACCAAAACCAGTACAGTCATATTAATATCATTTCCTAATCCTCAACCATTTGGAGTTTCATTCATTCAATAGTCTAAATATGATTGTGGAGTTTTGGATTTAAACTCTCGTGAAAACTATCATGTTATGCAGGAGCACAGGAAATGTGTACCCCTTTTTTTCATCTTTTCAATTAACAGATTAACTCATAAAGGGATTGTTAGATGAGTGACGAATCAGTTAAAGAAATTTCGTTTGCTTCTAATCTAATAGGTGATGCATGTGGATTAGGTCGGTTACCTTATCGCTTGGATTTAGCATTGACGAAATCGGTGTGTTAACGCAAAAAGCAGATGCATTTCATTATGTGTGTATGTATGTGTGTGTTAATGTGTCTGAATATATGTGTGTGTGTACGTGAGAGAGCGTGTGAATATAAAGTACAGAAATAAAATTTATATTTAAACCGAGAAATTATCTAGGGCGTTCGAGATCGATCTGAAACATAAATATTTATGACGGCAAAACTTAAAACGAAAACGTTTATTTAAGACGATAGTCTTTTTCTACTACGGACCTGCAATTAAAATTGAAATTTCGCCGAAATGGCCATTCTCACGGACGCCGAGAACCGATCGTTCAATCGTAAAACCGAGAAATTAGATGCTTCAAATGTTTACATAAACCAATCGCCACTATTAACAGCTTTCCATTTACAATATACAAATTCCTTAATTGAAACAAAAAAAGGCTTTTAAATTGCAATACTGTTTAAGTATATTCTTGTGGAAGTCCAGAAGAACGATATTTTCAGCTGATTTTTAAACATTCCACTCCACAATACGCTTGTAGTGAGAGCAAAATTAGTCTTTGTCTTGCAGCCTTAGTCTTTGTTTTGCAAAAATGTAGGAGCAAAATCAAGATCAAGACTATCTTTCTACTAACCAGATCAAGACCGACACTGAACGAACAAGAACAAGACTAAAATCAAGACCGAACGAAACCAACATCAAGACTGTATCAGCAAGACCAAGTATAGAAGTACTTGTGCGAGACCAAAACCAATACCAAGACTGCGACAGTATCGGTCTTGGTATTGCTTCCAGGAAGTAGCATCACAAAGAACCTAATTATCTGAATCTATCAATGTATCTACGTTTCTAATCGAACCTTTTGCCATAGAGCTTCGTTATAACTTTTCACAAAAACAATAAACCCAAAGACACCCTTGTTGTGGACGCATTAACTTATGCTATTTCATTTCCACCACTTAAGGGATATTCCTGTAGATATAACGTTATATTTTTCTGGTACTTAATCTCACTCCTATAAAAAAACTGCTAAAGCAATTGCAGACGAGTGTGCAGAAGTTCCGCAATTGCGGAAGAAAAAGCAGAACTCTGTTGCCAAACCAGCCCAAAACCTCCCACCCGACCTAGAAGCTTCAACAATTATTGGGAGGGTTTAAATTCTGTTTAAATTATCTATAAGATGACATTTGTTGTATATGCACATATTTATAGCATTATTTATCCTGATAGTCGAAATGCACTTTAACTAACATTTCATAATCAGCATCTCCCGATCGTCCCGCTTTTATTGCTCTTGGGTTATGTTAATGCGTAAGTGCTGTACGTCTTTGACTTTGACTGAGTTATTTATTGTTTCGTAAATAAAAGGCGGTAAAACACACGCAGGTTTGAAATTGCACAAGCGAATGTGTTTACGAAAGTGGAAATCGTCAGGAATTTAAAAGTCACACTTCCTTGCGAATTGAATTTAAAGCGTTCAGTAATGTCCATTTGAATCCAAACCAACAATTGCAATCGTCTTGATCTACGGATTAGGTCGTTACTCCTGTGAGTTTCATTTCTGTTCTGCAAAGTTCACCTTTAAAACATATAAATACATTAATTGATTCACGGGAATCTTTAATGTCAATGTATCGAGGATTCGCGACATCTTCAGCAGAACCAACAACCACCCCTCTAGTCCATTTTGTATGTGATGAATTATTAAATTAATAAAACAATTCAGTTTGAATATTGGATAATTTGTATTTTAATTTTTTGTACTTCGATTTTAAGACCGATGCCTCAGGTATTCCCCGACAGTTGAATGCGAAAGAGACAGTAAAACTGAAAAATATAAAATAATTAATAATTAAAAAATCATAACTTATGTCAAAAACGATTGTAGATTTAACGATTTTATGTTAAAAAAGTTATTTTTGTGAGAGAAAACGTTTTCTAACTTTGTTGCAGTAACATTATCAGAGTTGTAATATTTGCTGTATGTTGGATTGCCTATACGTGTATTATACTATAACTTGTAGTTTAATTGTAAAAAGAAAAATGTGAATTAGCATCCCTAAATGTGTCTACAAGACAAAACTATAATGTAAAGATGAAAATTAATTAATCTATTTCAATAAACCTGGAATTAAAGCTCAATTATAGCCTTGGTTTTAAATGTCCCGGCGCCTTCACCAAAATTTTCAATATAACTAACATTTGCTGATATTATTTGTGTATCTTCATGAATGTCTTATTTTCAGCATTAAGGGGGTAATTTATAAGAAATTAAAAACTTTTGAAATTTAAATTAGCAGATTAGAAATTTTCTATTCTTTGCATTTACAAAACTACTATTACTAATACTAATTAATAAAAGAACTGAAGTTTTTGAGTTTTTGTAAGAATTTGTTCATGTAAAAGGATTCAAGAGATTAACATTAGGTAGTATTCAATTTAATTCAAAGAAATATATGCCTTTTTTAATAAAATCACTTAAAAAAAGTAGATACAATTGTTTTAGAAATAATCACCAAAATACATTATATATGTTTATGATTAGGTATTCAACTATTTGCATTTGCTAAAACTTTGATTATCATAACATGACTTTGTCATACATTAATTTATGAAGCTAATGCTATCGCAACTTTTAAGTATACCTTTTTTTAACTCACACTTTGTTTGATGTGGATAAGTAATGAATATAAGGAAAAGATTGCGTGATCATCTTCATTTACAAAATTAAATTCATTTATTAATGCGAAGATAAATGTAAGGGGACATCTATTAATATGCTCTATACAGGGTAATAAATTTTCTTCTAATAACCCTTTAACATTAAGATAATACAGAGAGAACAATATTTTAAGGATTGATCTACAATCTATATTACTATGATATATAATAACGTCGTCTCTAATTTTTTTACTTATTAACCTGGTCACGAAATAGGTATTAGATACAACTACTACTCAACCAATTTTATATATTTTTTTTAATTAATAATTCTTCATTATCTTCTTTTAATCCTGCATGAGTGTGATAAAGATGAGTATCTACAAAGCTATCTGAATCAAATTGAACTTTTTCTCACAAAATAGCATAAATTCGATAGTAGCAGATGGTCTAGATTACTTAGGATTCTGGAGGACATCAGTTCGATTCTTCCCTGGTCCAAGTTTACTACAGTAGATTAAATAAAATCCAAACAATGGGAGCAGTTACGAATGTCATCATCATAAGATTCAAAGATTGATTTTATCTGTATTTTGAGTCAATCTTCAAATTTCTCCAAAATTACATCACCCTGAATCTCTATTTACAAACGCTAGGTCTACCTCCCCTCTCAACTCCTGGTTTTACTTCCAATATGATTCTAATTAGCCATTCATGTCATTTGCAACAAATGCCACAAGATAAAATAAAAAATGTGATGTTTATCTAAGTGTAATTTTATTTTTACTTTCAATTGGTAACTGTATTTTTCCAGCAAAGGTCAATGGATGTCGGTGAATAATCCTTGAATTAAAAACGCTAATCGTTACATCTGCCTATGTAATACAGATGATTTTTTGGGAGGAAGCTGAAGATTCAAGCACAGGCTCTCGTTAGACCTACGCAAAGTGCAATCGGTGTAAGTAAAGTTTTGTTTATCGTTAATTCGCTCTAGGTAAAAGTGCATCAGTTTTCAATTATATTAACAAGTTTGACACGTTTTTGTGATATACAAGTAAACAAATGCATCGTAGGTATATTTGTTACCTTTCGTCATTCCGCAATGATATT